GTTTTTGGCGGATCCCAGGACACGTGTGAGCACCCGGGCCGGTGTGGGAGGAGAAGTCCCCGGGGATGCGCGAGGCCTGCGGAGGGGCCGCTGAGACCTTTGAGCCCGGGAATCCGACCTCCCTTTCTTGCCTCCGTGCAGGGTTCGTTCCCGGGGACCCCACCCGCTCGCGGACTCTTCATTGCACGCGGGCTTAAGCTCGCAGGTGGTTGCGACCATGACGATGACCCTCTTGGAGGACTGGTGCCGCGGGATGGACGTGGACATCCACCGGGCCCTCCTGGTCACGGGCATCCCGCAGGACTGCGGCCCGGAGGAGATGGAGGGGACCCTGAGCAGGGCCCTCTCCCCGCTGGGCCCGTACCGCGTGCTCAACAAGATCTTTGTGAGGAAGGAGAACGCCAAAGCCGCCCTCCTCGAGGTGGGCGAGGGGGTGAGCCTGAGGGCCGTTCCCCGGGAGTTTCCGGGAAGAGGAGGTGCCTGGAGGGTGGTCTGCAGGAACCCCACCCAGGATGCCGAGTTTTTAAAGAACCTGAACGAGTTCCTGGATGCCGAGGGGCGCACCTGGGAGGACGTGGTCCGCCTGCTCCATCTCAACGACACCCCCGCGCCCCGGAACCGGAACCAGAACCCGCCTCTGGGGAACTGGGTAGAAGCTTTGGGGGCGCTCCTGGGGACCGTGATGCAAGTCATCGTCCACCTGGACTCAGAGCTCCGCAGCCAGGAGGAAGCCAGGGCCCAGGAGGCCTACGCCCTGGCCATGGCAGCGTCAGCCGCCGGGAGGAAGGGCCGGAAGGAGCCGGGCAGGGCTGCCAGGGCGTGCTCTGTCCTGACCAGGGGGAACCCAGGCAGCTGGGCTGAAGTGGAAGGTGAAGGCGACCCTCCCATACCTGTGGTTCGGAAGGCTAGAGCCAAGTCTCGCTCCAGGAGAAGGAAGCAGAAGAAGAGCCCCAGGCAGGAACCAGTGCCCTGGAAGAAACCCAAAGGCCACCATGCCAGCAGCCCGGCCTCCCCCGAGGGTCCTGAGGCTGACGGTGGGGACAGCGGGCAAGTCCCCGAGTGTCCCAGGAGCAGCAGGAAGCCCCGTGTGAAGCGGGTGGCCGCGGCCGGGAAGAAGCCTGCGGAGAAATGCCCCTGGGAGGCTCCCAGACACGCCCCCCAGGATGCCCGGGCAGAAGCTGCGGGCCCCGAAGTCGCCTCCGACTCAGACCAGGACGATGGTCCCGAGGAACCGCCAAGCAAGAAGGCCATGGGCTGGGCCTCGGCAAAGAGCCCGGGCTGCACGAGGAGGAGGAGGAAGAAGAAGGTGAGCTTGGGCCCCATCTCTTACGTCCTTGTCGATGTGGAAAGAGCCAAGAAGACGCCATCGATTCCAAAGAAAGGGCCGGGCCTGCGAAGGGGTGTGTCAGGCCAGAGGGCCCTTCGGGGCTCACAGCGCGTGGAGTCACCTGCCTCCGCCTCACAGGGTACACCGGCCAAACCAGAAGGCCCTGCTCCAGGTGAGTGTGACAACGGGAGTCATTTGGGTGGTGTCTACCAGCAGGGGAGGGGGGCGGAGCGGGAGTGGCAGGTGGGGGCTGATGAGCCCAAGGAGGACCCCACTGCGGTGGAGACGGTGGGCGACACACCAGTTGAGGGTTTAGAGGGCAAAAACCCTGACCTCCCTCCTCGGGGCCTCAGAAGGCCAACATGGGGGTGCTG